AGAATTTTACGACCTAAAAAGTCTATTTTGCGAAAAAGAGCACCGGAGACAATATTGATCACGGTACAAAGCGGAAGCGGCCGTATGTGTCACAAGAAAATAATGGTGCGTGATCGACTGATTGATACGCATAATTGTGTTTTTTTTAGACCTATCGCGGAGAAAAATAAAGACGTAAACAGAAACGATGTCTGCAAACGATAAAATAAGTGTCGAAATCTTTTATCTGCCGTGGAGATAATGCCTGTGCGCGAGATCGCAACACAAAAGAGAGCAGATAACACACGTGAACACCTGCGAAAAATATTCACCACTTTGCATTTTCTCGATCGCGCGTTTGCTAAAGATTAAATTTTCAATATTAAGATATATTTACTTTGTATATATTATTAGATCTATAAAAAACGAACATAGAAACACACACATGTACTTAATAAATTTTTCTAGATTTTTAATAAAAATTATCTTTTTATATATTCGATAGAAAATATTGATAGAAAAATATATGGAAAAATATATAACGAAATGAAAAATTCCACGTGAAAAGTATGATAAAATTGTGGAATAATAAAATGAATTGGAAAAATATAGAAAGTGAAGTGCAACGTTTCATATTTCTTCTCGTGGAAACTACTGCCGATAGTAAAATAAAGCCAAAGAATAAAGAGATGTATATAAGGCATGAATAACGGATGCGTATAAAGCAAATTTTTGCATCAGAAAAAAGATAGATACGTACATATGTTTGCTGTGTATATGTACATATATATATATGTATATATGCATGATAGCTTAAGCTCGGTAACTGTATAAATCTGATTTGGAGCTAAGCTGATGATGTAAAAGTACAATACGGACAGATCGTCTCACGGTTTGGGAATAAAATCGCAACGCGTTTGTGTCGCGACAACAATAACTCGTGAGAGCTGGATCCGTCGTCACTCGCACTAGATAATATTCAATAATAATAAAAACACGCGATCCGATAATGGACGAGTACCATAGAATCTTGACACGTGTCGATCGTATCTTGGACTCTACACATGCTTCAAAAGAGTGCTCTGTCGTTATCTTTGTGTTAATATCGATAAAAGTCTCGAGAAAGTCATATGTCGAAATCAAACGCACTCGTGATTTCATAAAAAAAAAAAAACATTTCATAAAAAAACATTTCATAAAAAAACATTTCAATGAGACCCGCGCGAACAAAAGAGCAAACTTTTGCTAGCTTTAATATCTATTAAACAAAAATGGGTCGAGCATCGTAGCATTTTCTGTAAGACATATTAATAACGATATTGATTTCAGAGATACTACAGATGCACGTGTATTTCCGAGTGAGAGAGAGAGGGAGAGATATGTATTCGCCTTTAACATGGCGTGCTACAATTTCTAGATTTAATTGAAATAAAGCGAACGCGAGTTTTGACGTAAACAAGTTAATTTAACTTTAAAATCAATTTCAAATAAATAAATTTGTTTTTGTGAATTGTTCAAGTCCACTAGACTTAAACCGAACAGTGCCCACACAAATGGAACAATTAAACGGTAACAACGTTGATGCATGATCTATGGAATTTTTCATTGATAAATTTGATGACAATCAACATGTACGCGAACGACGCATAAAAGGCGCGCATATATTGTATATACACAATTTTGGAACTTTCAAAAATCTCTATACGATATACGTATGTACATTCCTCTAATTTCACATGGCGTGCAAACGTCTGCCGTGTAATATGCAATGTGATCGCATTTTGTTTGCCGGCGCTTGTCACGTGATAGTATATCCATTCATCAAGCATTCCGTCTCTGTAATGCTACCTGCAATAATACCTGACAGTATCTGGCAAATAGCGTCGAGTTGAATATACACTCTCGAATTTACACTTCACTCGCATGCGCTTGCGCACAATGTAAATTTATATGCTTAATATTAAAGCCCCTAGGTGTCAAAATTGTACGTAAACTTGGTATAATGCAGTGTTAAATTAACTACTCATTACACTGATATTATATATGTATATATATACTGTTTCTCATTGCGATTATCAATAAATATTGCAATTTAATACTGTTCTAAGTTGAATAACTAAAAGCAATAAAAACAAAAAAGAACTAATTTGTTAAATAGTCCACGTTAGCTTTATGAGACAAATTCTTAATTAAATTTTTCCGTCGCACTTTGATTACTTGGATTGGTGTGTTGTTCAAAATTATTATTTTATTAAGAATCCGAGACTTTACGAACACGAAAGAACAGTATGGCTTTTTACTTTATATTGATATATATATATATGTTTATTCCAGTTACCTGTACGCACACGAATATACTCACGCAAAAACATATAAACACACTCGCGTCATGTGCGTTATAACTTGTCGAAGCCCCAGCTCCTATCTATAACGTTATCTCTTTTCTATCTGTGACATGTCGTTTTTATTCTACACCACACGTCAACGTAATCATATAGATGATGTCTCCCCTGACGTGTGGACGTGCGATTTGTGATCGCGGATATCAACGCGGGACAAGCGGATGTTGCGACGAGCGTGTACGCGCGGCGCATGCATCGCGCGATGCACCAGTAGCCTCTTGAGAAATTACGTGTCACATGCACGTAAGTGTCGTAAAACGTGCGGCGGTCGGCAGCGAAAACGGTAAATCACCACCGCGACTGCTGACGTCTCTCTGGCGAGGAATCCGAGAAAAATACGATAGCGCCACACAATTACGCCGTCACTTTGTGACTTATTAGTTGTTGGTTCGTCGCGCGTATATTTTACGCGTAAACATATAAAATCGTTAACCAAGCGGCGAAAGCTATTAACGTTATTCCCGCAAAACCTTTCAAACAAATTAATGATGCAGGCCGCACGCACATGATGTTATTATTATTAGCGCGGAACACCGATATGTGTATGTACGTCGATTAATTGTATAACAAAGTTTTGTTATTATTTCATATCTCATTATCGTTAGTTTGCAACCGATCGTCAATTTCAGATAGTTTACAAACCACGGCTCATCTGTACTAATTGTCACGCGCGTACTTGTAACGCGCGTTGTAAAAATAGTCGAGCGTCTTCCTTCGGAAAATTTCGGAGAAAAATTTTCCAAAAACCAAAAAGGAAAAAGAAAAACCAAGCGATTTGTCGCAATATAAATATGGCTACCCGCGATTTTCGTGTACACGAAACCGCAGAAGAATATACATCTCGTCACGAGCGATGGAAATTGCTCGAGTCGATTCGGGAGCGTATTTCAATAACCCACATTTCCGCGTGATGCCGAATTTCGAGCTCCGAGTCTCGCACTTCGAACACAGATTTGCATTGTTCGTCCGTCGATATATACATTCCCGTTTCGAGAGCCGAAGAGGCGAATGAACAAAAATTCCGATATTCAGTCAGTTACTGAAACATATAAACGTTAAAGTGGCTTCTCTTTTGGTCCGGGATGCACAACCGACACACGGACTGATACCGCGGGCTTGTACCGAGCCGAAAAAAGATAAACGCGAGTATAAAATTTCACATATTCTCTCGCTATTCTCAATGATCGCGCGCGTCATATGCCCGAATGAAGGTTTCGTCGATATACCGACAGCTTTTCGTGCTCACGTTGTCGTGTGCACACACGTACACAATATATATGCAAAGCGACAGAAGAGCTTTCTGATCGATGTCGAGTTCTATGGCCGACGACGACACAGCGCGAGTATATTCGGTAAAACGACGGTAGACGACGTGAGGCGATATCCCGGTGCTCTGTGTACGTGCCAGTCTTTATAAATCGATTGCATAAGTAGTGACGCACGTATTGATAATGCTCCGTTATTATTTTTCTTTCCTCCAATCGACGATTTTTACCGACAATTTTTACGTCAAGTTGTTCACATCGAAACATCGATGTTATAAATTACCGCGCGCTATCATCGCGTGCCGAATTCGCCGCGATAAGAGTAGTTTTACGAGAAAACCCGTCTGTGCGGAAACATATTAAGAGCTTCCCTCAATTTCCGAAATGCATAAAACAACGCGCGATTATGCATCGCGTCGGCGCGAAGGTGCCGTCGCGATTTATTATACCTACGCTCGGCGGGGAATCCTTCGTGAGAAGAACGCTTTCTGTTACGCATTGAGATTATTGTACACACACGCACGCTTTCAACTTTCTTTCCCCTCCTTGAACATACATCAGCCCGTGCTATTCCGAAGACATAAATCCTACGAGCCGATGTGTATCGACACCGCACGACGAAGACGCAATGCCGACAAAAAAGAAGAAACCGTCGACCGCTGTCGAACTCGCTCCCTCGAGTGCAAAAAGAACGAAGAAAAACCCGTTTCTTCGCATTCATAAAAAAAAATGAAATACCAAATAATACACAAGATCTCTAGCTTCTCGATATTTCTCCCTTATATATGTACTTCAACCGCGTTTGTATACTCGCAAGAGCGTATACGGTAAAAATACGAATGGCACGCGCGCATCCGCGTTTTCGGATGCTCTTATTGATACACACGAAATACGAAAATATTAAAACCGTTATTGACCCAGTTGTATGGAAAACACGAATAAAATAGCTTTGTATCGATGTATGTGTACGGTATGAGATAATTCACAAAGAGGCAATATAAAAATAACTCGATAATCCGCAGAATGCGTCGATTTGCGATCGTCGTGAGTGAAAACGTTCGTGCATTCGAAGTAAACGGATGTATGTACGATCAACAATGTTAATTTTCATTATCCGTTATCTCCTAACAAAGAGTGTGTGTGTGTGTGTGTGTGTGCGCGCGCGCGCGAATTTTATTAATTATTAACGGATCGCGATGATGTCTAAATTAAAATCCGAGAGATATCTCACACTGCCGTTCGATTTTAAATCGTCGATGCGGCGGCGGCGGCGGCGGTGGCGGCAACACGGGTCATTAAAACGAATCGATCGGCGCTTACAAGATTAAAGGTGTGACAATGAAAAAAAACTCACGTTCTCTTCGACGGTCTTCTTGATCTTCACGCTGGCCTCCACCACGGTCTTCCCGGCCTTGTTTACGGCGCTGTACAAGAATCCGCCGAAGCTCTTCGCACCCGCCAGCGCCTTCGTAGAAACTGGTGACAGAAAAACAGGGAAAGGTGAGATGAGAACGAATGCGACAATCGTGAGAAAGAGAGACAAAGAGAGAGAAAACTTTCCTCTTTCACATTTAACTCGCGAATGAGAAGCGGGAGCGAAACTGACGTAAAATAAAAATAAATAAAGCGCGCGAAACGTCCACGTCCATTTTTCTCGCCGGAGATAGAAAATACGCCTTCGCATCCACCTTTAAAAATCGCTGATACAGAAAAATCAACAGATCTTAATTAAGTTCGCCTTAATCGCGCTGACCAGTTGCTTTCCCGTTTAATTTACAGAGAATAAAGGTTTGACGTTTCTCGATATTTGCGATGTTATATAAAACGCGCGGAGAGAATTTTTAAAAAAATTCCAACGTCATTGTGTTAAAACTGTACGCGGAGAGGTGAGAAATCGCATAGCGTGCGATTCGAATCAACGCGCCAACAACGTCGCCGGCTTGTTCCAACCCAGATACGTCGTCGGATGGATTTCTCACGAGACTCTTTCGGAAATTCCGACTCCGTCATTTATCACAACCCGATGGTGAAAGCGAGACGCGAGTACACAGTAGCGACGACGACGACGACGACGACGGTAATCGTTTCTCCGAGGACATATGTGTGTATTGCGAGAGAGATGTCTGATGTTAAATGTAAACTATTGCTGTATATACACTTCTCTTTCGCGTCAGATGTTTCTGATACATTTAGATTTAGGCGAAATATGGCATGAAAAATGAAACACGACAAGAAAATACTTCATCTATAATCAATAAAAATAAAAAAAAAAAAAAAAAATAAAAAAACACCGTATCTGCTATAAAAATATTGCTGTGTCATACGTGACGTGCGTCCAGGAAGATACACTTTATCATCTGCGATATTATAAGCGAAACCTAACCATATATATATATATTATAGTCGTTCGCATCGACTATCGCGACTAAATTACACTGACATTTACGCTTTCAATAAAATAGAAAGCAATTCACCTCTTATAGCTCTAACGATAACTCGTGCGAAAGGTCGTTCGGTCTTGGTCTTCGGTCTTGTTGGCTCAAACTGCCACGCCACGGAGTATTTCACGGTATGTACCAACATATTAAATCGTAGTAACTTGCTCGTAATCCAGAGCACTCTAAAGCGATTTCCGCAAAAAAGTGTAATTGGTTCCTCTTGAAACGTTGAAACGAAGAGAGAAGGACGTGTTTTCTGCGCGGCGTTTTCGTTTCATCCGTCGGGAGATTTTATTTTCGAGATAATTACATATCAACTACCTAGATCCCGACGTTAATTTAATTTTTATGATTTGAACATTGAGTTTAAATTCTTGATCAAGTTGACGTAATGCTCCCTTTCTCTCTTTTTTCTTTCGCAATGCATCAGCGAATTTACGAAGCATCGATAAGATACAAAAGCGTAAGATTCTCTCGCGATTAAGCGGACACGGACGAACAAAAGTAATAAAGGGGTTTAAAGCCGTCTGACGAGAAAACTCTCAGAAGCTCGTAAACGAGGGCGTCAGTTGCTTTATATAACCCGTTATACGGAAATGAAACTGTAGAATACTATCTGATTACAGTTCGTGCACTTTTTTGAAGTGAACAGCAGCACGTATTTTTTTTTTACACGACAATTACGCAATATTATGCAGCGCTATGTAATGCGAAAATAAACCTAAATATATAAAAACACATCGATGTTCTTTATCCGAAGGATACTCGAAATTACTCCGTTTTGTGCCTCTCAAAAAATTTACGATGCGAAGAAGAGTCTTTTTAGCATGCACAAAGACGAGAAAACGCAGCGAGTAGCCTGCGTAAATCGAAGGCGATTTAATCAAGCGGATTGAGGCACTTCAATTCATTCGTCTCAACTCTCTCCTCCTCTTCTGGCCGTTGCAAGGCCATTAAAGAGAACGAATCGGTGTGAAATATATGCAGTACACATGTGCATGCTGGGTATAGCGCTTCGACGCGCCGCGCAACGTTTAATAACGGCTTACAACATGTACGACGAGACGCGAAACCCGTCGGGGTAATTGGTATCCTGACTACTGAAACAAGGGTTGCACACACCACACATTCCGCCCTTGCGTAGGCATCCAAGAACCGCTGAACAAGTGCCGAGTATCATAGCGGGTATTTTCCATCACGTCGAGAAGATAATTTGTCTCTCACCCCCGACCTAAATTGTTGCAGAGGGTGCAACACCGCGTGCTGCACGTAGCGATTCGAAAAATAGCCAATTTTGGTGTAGAATTGAAGATTGCAACGCGCCAAGAGGATAAAGCCGAGGTAATGGACTTTCAATTCCACGTTGAGACAGAAGGAAAATTATGCGCAAGTGACATGAATAAAATAAACCGCTCCTATACATATATCTTTGTTGCTTCTTCACATGCGTGATGTGTTTATAAATAAATATGAGAGAAACACTACACAGAGAATAAAACAACACCAGTACTGTTTTGTACATTTACAAAAGTCCGTGAAAATATATAGAATACGAAAATGAAAATATACGTAGTCCGTGAAAATATACGAAAAATTCGGAGAAAAACTCAATAAATTTCTCGAGAATTATCTTGGTAATATCGAGTTTGACGCGAGCATAATTGTGACACAAATTAATATATGAGATATACTTGTTCGCGTTAACGTGTCTATCCTGTTTTACCTCCACTTTCGAGACAGGGCAAATTTCCGAAGCGAGAGAAAACTCGTCGTCGCCCGGCCGAAAGTTCCGAAAAGTTTCGCTCAATGGCGACGGCCGCTGAGCAAACTTTGACAGAACACGAGCGTGACGAGAAATTTCACGCTATATATGTATGTTGTCACCCGAGTGAGACTCAGAGTTACTAAACGTGATGTCACGGAGAAAGAAGACGTACGAAGATGCCGACATATGAACATTTACTGACTCGCGCAAATGTGAAACGCTTCGATAAGATACTAGTACGTCTTGTGATGTAAATACGAACGATAAGACAAAAATCGTCGACGTTATTGAACACAAAACAGGCTTGTTACAATAACACTTGACAAAATGACACACAAAATCGTCTTAGATAATATTTAATATTTTCAGTATACTTTGTAATCTTGTTTAGTGAAATTGTCATCAGTGTTTTATTATTTCTTTGATTAGATGACCGCTAGTTACGCTTTCTATATGATGCTTACTGCTATCAACTTTTCAATTAATTGAGTTTTCTCTCATTTTAAGTTTTAGTTTAATTAAATTGTTTTTAATTTAATTTTTTCTTTTAATCACTGAGAAAAATCCAAACAATACATTGAAACGTTTGATATATATCAATAAGTCTAAACTTATATATGTGAACAATTTATACATATATTGGCTCGTATTTACTTTGATGCTTAAAAAAATTCTTTTCATACTTATTTATTAAGTAATATTTATTTGTAAGAGTTCTTCAATATTTTTTTTCAATGTTTTTTATCCTCTCTAGTTATCTTCTCTATTTATTGTAACTGGGATTATGTCATTATTTACGTTCTTTATCTATTACGTTGTGCCACTGAAATATGTCGGTCGAATCTGTTTACATTAATCTACACAAGCGTCTCAGGTGTGTGTTCACTTTCTCAGCATAAAGCTGTAAATCAGTTAACCACAGTTAAGAATATTTTGCTGTACGCCAAATAACACTGTGAAACTAAGCTACGGATGAGCAACATATATACAATAAATAAATAAATAAATATATACATATATAATAAATATATACATATATATACACATATAATAGCACAATGTGATAGATAAGCAACGTAAATAATAAAATGACCTCGTCGAAGTTAAACATTAATAGAGAGGATAGAGTTAACACGTTAATAATGACTAAAAACAAAAACCTAACGAAGAGTTTTTTTACATAAATATTATTCAAGACAGTTTTGTGAAGTTTATGCGCCAAATTTTTTATCGTTGTAACACGACTTGTGTTCAACGACGTCGACGTTTATCGTTTGTTACATCAGAAAAACATATTGATACAGAGTTCTAGTTAACAGATGAAAGATTATGATTGTCTCTTTGTCTGTTTTTTTCTTTATATATAATTAGATTTCTCCTTATACATCACTTTCAAGCACACTTTTCGAAAAGATCGCACATGCTAGCAACGACACAGATCTTCTTTGTGATCTATCATTGTTGCAATTCTCACGTCGTAAGGTCTTGTCTGGTTATACGCTCCAAGCTGATGACGTCGATAATTGTGTAACATATCGGAAGGATAGTGGCGACTGAGAATAGCCATAAAGGAAGCGAACTGTGACCAAAATAATGCTCCTTCGATCCATTAACAACAACAGTTTCGCAATATATATATATAACGAAACTTGCGATGCTACCAGCTGTTACGTAGATATCTCTTATTACCTGATAACGATGTTCCCATAACAACAACGTACTTAAACGTAACCTGACAAAATGCGCACTCACGTGTCAAATAAATAATAACGAGCAATAAATTGTTTTCCAGCGGAATTTCGAATTTATCTTCATTTGAGATAAAAGATATGAAAAAGCGATTGATCAAGCACAAACAACGGTCTCAGTACTATCGACTACTTTTTTGAATTAATAAAACAACGCGCTTGACATTTGTATCTCTTTGCGCTCGCGAAGAAACTATCACTAAACTCGATCGTTCGAACAAATAAACGATAAGAGCGACTATCTTCGCGTTCTCCCTCCACTTAAAAATGATTTAATAAACCGACAAGATCGCTATCGCGCTAAAAATACACTTCGTATACATTTGACTCGATTGCGCGTGGCAAAGCTCATCTCTCACGTCTTATCGCCGCGGTCGCTTCGATTTGTCGTCGTCGTCGTCGGTCGCGAGAGTCTCGTTTGAAACCCCTCGATAAATCAAGCGGAAGATCTGCGATATCGCGTGGAAAAAATTAGTGAAGTGCGATGAATGAATAAAGACGCATCGGATATCTATTTTAGTGTTG